AAGCAGTGGTATCAACGCAGAGTACTCTCCCAAACTCTCCAGGGTAAGGACCTGCCGACTGGAGAGTAAGTCAAGTGGTCTAAAAAAACTGTGTCTTGCGATGATGATAATTATTTTATGTTTACACAATTTCATAAAAGTAGGATAAACAATAAATACACATTAGATAATTTCGGAAATAATCATATAACAACTGCATGTTGCTCCACATGTGTTGTTTGCAAGTTAATGGATCATAGTCCATTTATAATAAGTGCTTCAACAGGGTTGAAAATTCACACTTATTGTAAGAAAAATAGTTGCTGCGAAGACAGCAACGTAATTTACTGTGTCACATGTGAAGAATGCAATAAGCAATATGTGGGAATGACAACACGTAAACTTAAATATAGAATAAAAGAACACATCTATCATTCGAAAAAGAATGACATAGACAACTTTCTATACAATCATTTCAAAACATGTTGCAACAAAAAAATAACCATTAAAATACTAGACAGCCTTCAAAATAACGAAAATAAAACTATATTAATGAATAAAGAATTGTTTTGGATCAAATTACTCAATACTGCATACCCATTCGGATTGAATGATAACATAAAAGGTTATGGAAACATATCTGATATCAATAATCCTCTCTTACATAAAGACACCCATCCTTACTACAGCTTAAAAATCATCAAAGACAGAATACGCAGCAAAAATAGAAATAAGAATAAAAACAAAGAAACATTAGACATCTTCGTTAATACTATCAACCATACAATCACCCATCATGGCATTTTCAAAAATACTCATTCTTTAAAGAAAAACTTCATAAAACAAATAATCATAGCATCCTTTGATTCCGAATTTCTAAACAAAATAGAACAAAATAAAAAATCAATTACATTGAGTATTCTGTGTAAGTATATGTTCCATAATGACAAAAAAGAAAAATCCAATTCTAAATTTATAAATGTTAAAGTTGAATACATTCACCAAATATTAGATCAAGTTAATTTAAATAAAATCATTAATAGCACCTATATAAAGAACATTTTAGAAAACCCTAGTATAAAATACAGCCCCTGCAGACTGATATACATGTATAAAGAGCCAATATCACAAAAAATCTTTAACTACAACTCTATCCTTAATGAACTTGACGAAGATAAATTAAAACAAATTCTGTCAGAAAAATGCAATTGCAAGGAATCTGATAAAGAAAAATTTATTGACAGCAACCACGGACATATAATTACTGGAAATCTGGATATAATCAAAGAAAAGCGTTTGAAATCAATAATGAGTAAAGGCACTAAACATAGATTACAACAAAGCACCAACAAAAAAGAAGTACTTGAATGGATACAGGCAACTATAGAAATGATTATGAACACATATATCAAAAAATACAAAATAAGCAATGAGAAACTCATCAACATAAAAGAATATCTCTCAAAAAAATTTCTACATAAATTAAAACCACTTCTTTACAAATCAAGATTAGAAAACAAACATAGTTATGATTTCAATTCTAAATACTTCAAAGAACTAAGAAATAATTTCGTAATATGTCCATTAGATAAAGCCAACAATAATTTTGGTCTGATATGTATCAAATTTTATATACAAAAGTTAATGAATGAACTAGGCATTAATTTAAAAGGACCAAATTTACAATTTTTACAAAATTCAACGTATGACATATACACAATGGAAAATAATACAGAAATCATCAACAGACACAAAATTTTTTGCAATAGCAATAAATTATTAGGTCGTTCCGAAAGTAATGTCGTTTTTTTCAAATGAACGCCACATTTTAAGTAATCAAGATTTTTAAGATTTCTTAGAAGCGTTCGATGCAGCATTTCATCCGCTTTCTAACGGTTATAATTCCATTGCATGATATTCAATGAGCTCTCGAAAAATTACCAAAATCTGCGACTCATGTTTTTTGCCATGGTCAAGTTCGGCTATTTTTCTAAATTTTTGTACCTATTCTCCAAAGAAGTGCAAGTAGCAGCTAGATAGAGCAAACCCTATAGGACACAGGGTAATTTTTTACTTTTCCTTAGCTTGCTTCTTAGAGTTTCTGGAATCAATTTTTCAATGGTATGAGATTCCGTATTTGGTCAACTCAAACCTCACAGAACAATAACCGGCAAGCAACTCGGGTGTCATTCGACGCAGCTTTTTTCCCTCTTTTTACCAGTTGTTTTTGGTTCCCGATTCATTGAGTTTTCCGGGATAAAATCATCATAATTCAGGTTTCCTAGGGTACCCCAGGGTGTACCCGAAATTTCCAAAAGTGGCTAATCTGAAGCGGTAAATGCTCATTTGGTTTGTAAAATTAGTGTCAGACCATAATCCACCTTTGTAAGTTTCAAAATCCGAAGATTTGTTGGTGTCTGATGCATTTGTGTCTGAGACAAGCTTGCTAAAATTCGGTGATTCCATCAAAAAATCTATACAAAAATTATGACGAGCTCTGGAAAGTGGAAAAAAGTTGTGCTGTTTCCTGTAGGGTTTGCTCTATCCATCCATCACTTGGAGTCTTTCCGAGGATTGTTATGAAAATTTGGAAAAATTTAGAAACTTGGCCTTCCCAAAAAGCATGGGCAGCAGATTTTGATGATTTTTCGAGAGGTTATTGAATTTTATGCAGCGAATGTATAACCATTAGAAAGAGAATGAAATGCTGCATCAAATGCTACCGGAATCTCTTACAAATCTTTGTTCCACGAGATGTGGCGTACGTTTGAAAAAAGCGACATTACTTTTGGAACGACCTAATACATTTAGAAAAAGTTAACAATATTCCTCTCATATATGCAGTTCCAAAATTACACAAAACACCTACCAAATTCAGATTCATAACTGGTGCTACACATAGCAGTATAAAACCACTAGCTATCGAATTAAAAATGATTTTCACATTCATCAAAAGTCATTTCAAAAAATACTTGCAAGCTATAAAAAATAGAAATCACAATTTTAACGGATACTGGGCTATAGATAACATTAACATCAGCGAAAATCTAACAAATATTAACATGAAAAACATGAGGATTTTCTCTGGTGATTTTACAAATATGTTTACAAGTCTACCCCACGACATTATAAAATCCAATATAAAAGAACTTCTAGAACTATGTTTCAACAATGCAAATGAAAAATACATTATAGTCAGTGGAAACAATAAAATCTATTATAGCAGTGATACGACACATTTGAGTACAAGATCCAGGTCTTATACTTTAGTAGATTTACTATATTTAGTAGACTATATTCTAAATAATAGTTTCTGTCGCTTTAGCATTTATACATTGAAACAAAAAGTTGGAGTTCCTCAAGGTGGTAACTTCAGCCCACTATTAGCAGATCTTACACTTTCTTGGTACGAATATAGGTATTCTATTAAAAATATCACAAACAATTTCCAAATAATACCTTATAGATATATGGATGATCTTTTACTTATTCATAACTTAGAAGAAAATACTATCCACAAGTTAGTCAAAAAAATTTACGAACATAAACTTCAAATAGAAGCTACACACTTAAATTCCTATAGCTGTAACTATCTCGACCTAAATATTGAAATAATAAACAATAAATTGATTACAAAATTATATAATAAAACTGACTATTTTAATTTTAACGTTAAAAGATTCATACATTCTACATCTAGTATCTCATTCAACATTAAAAAGGCAACCATATATACAGAAACTCTCAGAATAGCGAGAACATGTACATACCTTAACGATTTTCTGCAAAAAATCTCACAACTCAGAGATATACTACTTAAAAATGAATATGACATAAGTATAATATCATC